ATGAAAGGCCTTCGGGCCTGTATAAACAGCCACTCATACAGGCCCATGGCTGAGCAGCATATGTTACAACAGCTGCACGTGCACTGTGTGGTGTGTGGAGGCGGTGCAGAGGTTCACAGGGGTCTTTCAGGGTAAACGCCGAACACGGTACCTATTACACATCTGATATATTCCATTAATTAGTTTTAATTAGATATGCAGTTTTGATCCACAACTCTGTGCTCCACCTGCCCAACCTCTGAGACGTGTTGTTTTTCTATAAACACTTTTGTTAGAATGAAGAGGTTTGATAATGGATAAAAGGAAGGAGAGGAAATTCTCACTATGACTATTTACAGATTCTGCTCTGTTAAGTGGGTATACAGTCCCAAAGATGGATGTAGGCCATTAGGAGTGTTTCAGTCCTCTGTGAAAGGGCTCTCCAACATTTGCCCTGGTGGTAGTCCATGTTTTCAATGATTTAAACATTTAAGGAGTTGAATTTATTGATGACAATGGTTTCATCCCAATATTCTTGATTTAGATTAGATTCCATTTAAGGATCCATGGAATTTGGGTTTAAGAACATAAACTGCAAAGTATCTTAAATTGCGTGCCTCTATGATTAGAGTATTTGTTCTTCAGATATGTAGAGACCTGTCAGACTAATAGTGCAGTGGACTGTATTAAATATATTTTGAGCACTACCTGGTGGATATGATGGATGAGTTTAATCGAGTTTATAAAGGTCCAGCTGAACACTTAACCCCTCACAGTTGATCATTTAACAGGGTATTAGAACTGCAATCTTATTGCTGATTGCATTTTTGGATATTCATGAATGCACCATAAACCCAAATTTGAATTTCCAGTAATTACCTGAAAACGTTTGTGTATGCGGTATGTTGTATTTTTGTCACAAGACAATGTGTTGTTGCTGTTTGTGCTCTGCAGGTGAAACTGGAACTCCACATTGTGTTAGCACAGCAATGTCTAAGGATTTTGCAACCTTCTAGAAATGCTAAAAACAGGCAAACGGATTTATGGCTTCCTGCCATTTTCTGCCAAGAATTAGGGTTTTAATCATTCGTGCATCACTGTGCAGTTCCAAACCGAACAAATCAACACAAATCCCCGGAAGAGGATGGATGAAACGGAGGCAAATTAATAGGCAAACATGGGGAAGGAAATGAATTCTTAATCTTGTTTGGTTGTGTTCCAAATAACTTATCACTGGCCATTACCGTGTCTCTGAAATCCCAAGGAGGAAGCAATTTGAATGGATAATTCCTGCCAACTCATTTCCTGTGTTGGGATATTTCCTTTTTTCAGACAGCACAGTGTAGGCCTGTTGCTGCTCCGCTCTGCCAGGACTCCCTGTATAGTGTTCTCGGACCAGACATGAGATCACGTTTGGCAGCTTAAATCCATTCATGTATTAGACATGGCATCATAAACATTTTAGTGTCATGGTTTGCTTTTTTTTATACTAATTTGATGGAATTATTTGGAATGCCCAAAAGGTCTCTTCATTTTTACATCGTGCTGGATCACTCGGAGAGAACCAAAGTGCCCTGAATTGTGCGTTCATTCTTACAGCATTGTAAACTCCATTGTAAGAAAAACTTGGATGTTTATTCTTTCTGAGATACATTTTAGATCAATTGTCAAAGTTCCATTTATTTAAAAGTTTCACAGAGACGAATATTAATGATTTCTGCTAGTCATGAAAACACCATGTTAGTTAGTTAGTTAGCCATGTTAGTTAGAATAAAATTGGGGTTTTAAAAATGCTTTTACACATTTAAATCTTTGTCCCCTCATTTGACTTTTGTTGGAGTAATATAAGTTTAATTGATCCCTCAGTGTAACAACATTCAGCTTTCATTTCAGCACATGTGGTTTCCATGCAAAAATGTTCAGACAAAAGCATTGGATGATTTAATCTTTTTTTTTTCTCCTTCTGTAACTGTTTAGGATGAAAGACTTTTTTTTTCTCCTTGCGTGGATGAGATTTTAAATAGTTATTTTCTCCTGGAAGTCTATCCTCAAAGCCATTAAGACTCTTGAAACACATAATGACCTCTTCATTTAAACTAATGAATAATAGAATTAAGAAAAAAAACATGAACGAATGAATGATCCCCTTCTGCTTTAGTTCTGTTTCATACTACACCTGAGCTAAAAGCACTTGAAACAATGAAGATGGTGTTTGAAAGTCTTTTGTTAAAACTCTCTGTTTCCATTCTTTGTGTAGCGGGAAAGAGCAGAAAGGAACTAACTCCCGAGGTATTGAGTTCCCTGTATCCATCATTTTCGACGAGTTGGGACCTTGGAATAGCGCCAGCAGCGTCTGCGTTAGCCAGCCGTAACTGACATTGAGTGCATTGTTTGCAGTGGGAAGCTCATGGCTGTGGCCTAAAGGTACATTCCTGAGATCAGAATGCTGTTTAAAACACAAACAGCCTTTGTGCCCTCACTGCTCTCTTCCCCTGACTCCCTCATCCACATCAAGCCTCAAGAACTAAACTGCCTCCTCTCACTCATGTGTCAACATGTGGGCTATCATTTTACTCACACCCACATACGCTCTCACACACACACACACACACACACACACTCTCTCGTGTCATTTTGATGATGAGGTCCAGGCAAGATATCTGAGCTATCTAAGCCCTGGTGGAAGAAGAGCGATGAGGTCTGAACTTTTTCAAACACAAACAGTAGTGTTTATGGTTCTAATGACCTTTTGATAACCAGAGACAAAGTAAAATAATGATATCATTTTGAAACTGATAGAATCTTTATACCAGGGCAATGTAACAAAAGCTAAATAAAAGTAAAGTAAAGTAAAGTAAGTAAAAGTGTGTCGTCACACAGGGAGCTCTCTGGGCTTCGTTTTGGTCAGCATGAAAACAAAACTGCTTGGTCTGATATTGCTGAGCCAGCTTTTTTCTGGGGTGTTGTCCAGATTGTTACAGGTAGGCCAAACTATTTACGTGTTCAACAGATAACCAGGAAAAGTCATAAAAGCCACATCGTAAAATCCCCATTTTAACTTGTTATCCTTTTTAGGTGTCATAAACATTATACAGTCTAAGTTATTGGAAAAGGTGGATAAGCTTTACCTAATACCTGCTTAAGTCATCTAACTGAACTTCTTGAATAACTCAATACAAGTATCAAAACCAAAAGAAAATAGTTCAGATTTCTGGCAATCTGGCACTCACAGATAAACTGCTGGCTCTTTCTGTTTCCAATGTAGCCTCAGTCGATCAGGCTACATTTCAATTTCAGATATCCTTGTTATGGAAGCATGTCCTCAGCTGTAGCTTAACTTTCTGGAAACCCACATTTGTTTGAAAATGGAAATGAAATGAAAGGTTGCTGATTTAGACAGTAGCTTATAAAATAAAATTCATAAAAACCTAAAAATGAATCTTTTGCTGTTACTATGATTTGTGCACACATCAAAGAAATCTGCCATCGACCTGTTACACCTTCACCAGCAAAAGCACGAGGGGTGTTCATTTGAAGGAGTTATTATTCTTGATTATACTCAATGAGCTCGTTAATATGCCTCAATTACTTTTCCCTCAACTGCTTTGCTGTGGGGGAGTTAATGGGAGGGGGGTGATTGAATCGGCGAGGATCGCCAGCTCTGCAGACCTACAGCAGCCGTGTTGAGTTTGAATGTTTGTGCAGCCCTGACGTTAGAACCATTACCTGACATCCACGTAGGACATCATGGGGTCTGGAGGGCAATATTAACAGTTTTATAGAGCAGCAGCTTTTTTCTAAACCACATGACTGTACCCTGTTTATTGCCATCAGTTGTATTCAAATTAGTTACATTAGCAGTAGTTATTACTTTTATAATTAATTTGTTAGAAATCAGGTTCTATATGAACTGTGACGTGCACATGCATGTCAGCAGCCATTCAAATAGGCCACTTTTTTGCAGATAAAGTTACTGAAGATCAAACTTAAGATTGTGGCAACACCTAAAAAGCACAGCTCTTAACATTTAACACAATTTTAGAAGTCTTTCTCGTCTAAAAGTCCAACTTTAACCAAAGTTAACTGCAGTTCAATGCATAGACAGAAGAAGTCAACAATATGTTCATGAAATCTTCTAGCATATGACCATGAAGTGATCTGAAGTGTTTCAGCCAGCGTTTAAACGTCTCCCCACTTTAAGAGACAGCGATGCCTTCTCTGCTGGATCCACTCTTCAAATCCATCTCCCCTCATCCAGTGTTTCTCAAGACTCTTCTTCCACCTTAAACTCCCGCCCAGTTCTACGTATCAACCCCTCAACAAGTGGCCAGCCAATGAGAGGCTTTTCCCCTAATGTGTGGCAGTGGGAGGCCGGGGAACCGAAAGACAACCGCTCAAAGGGGTTTCAGAGTAGAGGACCACTTTGCGACCCACGGGGGTTGTTGTTTTCCTCCCTGCGCTGTGTTTGTTTGCGCTCCCGTCCGCGCAAGCACCGCTCCATGGTCCTGCCCACTCCCCCGGAGGGCGCAGGGGACGTGCCCCTCTTGGTTTTTGTGGCTGCTGGAGATCCTCTCGGACAGAGAGCGCAACGGGGACTCGCTGAAGTGGAGTCGGTCCGGTGGAATGAGGATCGGGCAGAAACTCTCCAGCTTCCGCGGAGAGAGAACTTTTCTTTTCTTTTTTTCCCCCTCCCAGTTTGCTGTGTCTGACCGATCCGAGTCTCTGCCTTGAGTTTTTGATCCCCAAACATGTACGGATAGCGGTTGTTTCGTCGCAGAATCCGGCTCAAATGGATCAGCTCTGACGGGCGCATGGAGCCAGGATTACACAGCCCGCTGAACGCCCCCACACACGGGCCTTTCACACACCATCTGCCCCGGAATACTCATTAAAGAAAAAAAATAAAGACACTCTGTAATGTGGACATAATCCATGGATGCGACGCAAGTTTTATTCGTGGCTTTGCTCTGAGCTTCCTTTCTCTTTTTTTTTTTTTTTTTCCTCCCCGTGCGCTCGCAACAATGGCAAACTCTGGCACACTGCCACGAACCGTCCGCAGATCCGGTTGGCCTCTCGGCTGCGCGCTCCTGTTTTTTGCCCACTTCTCCGCGGCCGTGCCGTCCCACGGACGGCGGCTGATTTGCTGGCAGGCCATCATGAACTGTCAGGCCGAGCCCGAGTGCAACTACGCCTTCGAGCACTACAGCCACGCGTGCGGGCCCGTGCTGAGCGGGGAGAGGAGGAAGTGTCCCAGCCACTGCATCTCGTCTCTCGTCCAGCTCAACATGACCAAGAGCGGCCCGGCCCTGGAGGACTGCAGCTGCGGCCGCGACGCGCTCTGCGCCAGCACCAAGCGCGCCATCGAGCCCTGCCTGCCCCGCACCACCAGCACGGGCTGCACCGAGGCCCGGCACCAGTGCGCCCGGGACCCGCAGTGCAACTCGGCCATGCACGACTACCTGCACCACTGCGGGAAACTCTTCAGCGGGTCCATCTGCACCAACGCCTGCCGGAGCGTGATCGCCAACATGCGCAAGATCCCCAAGGGCCAGCAGCTGGACACCTGCATGTGCGACGGCACGGAGAGGGCCATCTGCGAGTTCGTCAAGAGCAGCATGAAGGAGCTGTGCTTCGACTACCCGGACAGGTACGAGGCCAGCGGCTCCCAGGAGGACGACGAGGACTACAGGGACCCGATCGAACCGCAGGAGGAGGAGGTGGAGAGCGGAGCCGATCTCCCCGCGGCCCGCTGTGTTTTGACCCTGCTGGCATCCATTTTGGCTGTGATGACCTCTTTTTAATTCTGGGGTTCTTAAGTTTCCGGCTATAAAGCAATCTGAACTTCTGTCACTCATTGACCTGCGACTATTGTGAACGGGCCGGAGCCTCAAAGACCCAAAGGGAAAAGGTGTCTTCTGTCAGAGGCTTTTCCTCAAAGACCCTGTAGGACATCGTCATATTGGGGATATTTCTATGCAAATAGAAGCAGAAAGATGCTTTTTCTGCGTCTGAACTCTGGGCTCACCCAACTTCTGGGCTCTACAGGATGCTTTGCTCGTGAGATAAGCTGAATAGGATCGCCTATACTTGCTCTGTCACAGACACACAGTTGGCTTATTTTGGTAACAATGCAGCGTTTAATCACGTTTATCAGCTGTGCACTGCCAATCTTTGCTTTTCTTCTTTCTAAAGTATGAACTATTTTTGTATGACAGCTGCCTCTTGGCGCCAGAATATCTGATTTACAAGTATTTAATGTTCGAATCCACAAACTTGTAAATAGATTAGGGGTTAAAGTTAAACAGTAATTTATTACAAGTGTACTAGTTGCATCCAAATGGTCACCGTGTGTATACAAACTGAGTATTCCAGCTTTAAAGGGACGTTATTTCAACTAAAGATAGTTTATATTCATTGTATATATGTTTATAGCCTATATAGATTTTTTTCAGAGAATCCTGTATGTTTTAGGCTATGAGATGATTTATTCATGATTAAAAGTCTAGAAGAAAACCAGAAAATGTCTAAATTCACTGTATGATTGCCTTAATGATACATTTTTACAGAAGGCATAAAAGAAACTTGAAGATACAATTCCTGACTGTGACTTCTTTTTCATTTGCATCACATTTTGTCATTGACAGTACTGTCTTTTAAATCACATGAAAGCTAAGGCACACTCAAATAGTTGTGAGTGAAATTCTTCCAGCATCTTTCTTTTGAGCTCAGTTGTGAGAGAGAAATGGAAAAAATTACTTTTTTTTGTCGTTTTTGCTTTAATAAATACGGTAGTAAATCTGGGACCCGGAGCACTTACGCTGACAGTAAGATCTGAAGTATTACTTCTACAACTCTCTCCCGACCCCTCTAAGTTACATCTGTTTGAACTATTTCGCTTCATGCCTACTGAATAAAAAGAATGGAAATCAGATGAGTGTGTGATTCTTTATTATGCACTCTTTTTAGACACTTTTGTCATCCTCTCTTCACTGAAGATCACAGGATTTGACTTCTGTCAATGGTAAAGGCCTTGTTGAGTTTTTTTCACCCAAGTCTTTCCACTGATAAACTCAATCAGATGTAACATATGCAAAGTTGTGTGAGAGTTGTCTTTTTCCCCTCATTTTACTCTTATTTTTGAAAGATTAGCGTTCATGAAGTGAAATCTGACGTCTCTTTCAGGTGAATCCTTAAACCAACTGGCTAACAGACACACTGTAAACCTTTGAACTCTCCGTTTTTTTGAGCTATAATACATAGGAATTTAAACGCAGGCCTGGGTCTCCTGCTGAGCGATAGCCTAATGACCTGCTATGTCTTGATTTAGCTGCCTTTTGTCAAAAGGAGCTGTCACCATAAATCAACAAAACACCCTCTCCCCTCCTACGTCACCACTGACAACACACTACGATCGGAGTTAATCTGGCTCTTCGGCTTTTCTCTAACATGGATTAAAGGTCTGATGTAAAAAATCTTATCCCAATGGAGATGGCAAAAAGGATATTGTTATTTCAGATATATCTAAATACATTCATGTGTTGATGTGACTGCTTTATTCCTTTTAGGGGGGTGCAGTTTGGTTTAAATTAAGCCAGTGGATTAGCTGTGTAATTAACAACATTTCTACGGGCTACCTTTCCAAAAGTTTTGATCAAACCTTTTTCTAATTAAGATAACTTCTCACCCAGGTAGCAGCAAGTTGATTTGTCGAGTCAGAACTACCTGCAGGCTGTTTATTTCCACGAGACAGTGCGTATCTTCCTGACTGGCTGCAGGGGCTTTAAATCCAAGATTTTTCCGCAAAATGTTTTATTTGAGGGGGACAAGGGCCCTCGAGCTGAATGGATGGAAGAGAAGTCGAGTGGCATCTTTGTCATGGAAATGTTAAGCACATAATAGTTGGGGAACACAATGGGGAGGCACTTCATTCTTTCAGGCTGGCTTGACACCTCTGGAGAGCCGAGCAGTGGGGAAGCATGTGGGAACGATCTGCTGCTGCCTGAGTCTCAAGCTTCCACCATCAAGCGAAGAAGAAGAAAAACCCATGGTGGCTCTAGTTTGGGGTATTTTGTCCAGGATATTGCCCCGTGTTTAATCCTTTCTTTCTGTTCTTGATTATTTAGTACTTCAAAATATAGCCAGAAAAACTATTGCAAACTTAAGTTGTCAAAGCTAAAAAAGTTAATACATTTGAAAATCTAAGCAAGAAAAAGTTAGATAAAAAAATCATTCGCATTATACAGTCTGTTGATTGTGTAGAAAGCCCCTAAAACCCAGTGGCTTCTAAATGAAATACCCCGTCTGTTTCGAGCAGTGTCGGTAATGCGATCCACCGTGCATGAAGCTTTCCAGGCAAGAGAATAGCTCCGCAGCCCAGCCTGTCTTCCCCTCCTCCTCCTTGTCTTTCTTTTGCTTCTCGCATTTGTTCGGGGCAGTTTCAGCATTTAGGAAAAGCACAGCGTGTGTTGATTAGGCTATGATAATGCACACTGTGTGAACGGGTGAAAGCATTCTCTCAAAAAACAGGCCCTTCTGTCATAAAATGAAATCGATACACAATAAGAGCTCGGGTATGTTCCACAGAGTTGAGCCTGTGTGGAAAATTCCAGGCTCATGATGTTTTTAAAGAGGAATTTCTAGCATGAATATCAAAGCAAAAAAGATGCACATTATATCGTAGATATTGCGCTGTCTGCTGCTCTTGTAAAGAGAAGGCTTTTGTGGGGGTGGTGCCGGTGGTTTTGGTTTGATTTACAAACTGTGGCTGTTTGTGTTCCAGCTCTTTGAGCATGTGTAAGGTATCTCTGCCATCAACTTTGCTTCAGTGAGCTTAGTTCACTTCCAAGCTCTGTTCCTTTGGCCTCCCGAACAAAACGGCCCACACTTCACCCCATGCAGATCACTTCACCCCTTCACCCCGAGCTTATCGCAGCACAATGTTTACAAAGGTGCAGAGCACCAGCCTCTGAGGATGCTGGAGGTTCTGCACTATCACTTGGCTGCTCCCAATTAGACTTTTAGCATATTTTATAAAATACATAACTTTTTTCTCACTCCTATATTTTTTTAAATGAGCAAGTTGAATAAGTAAAGTTTCCTCAAATGATTACATTTCTCTTTTCCTTTATTTTTTGCTGTTTTTTTTTTTTTGCTGTTCATGGAATATTTGAACTTAGCCCTACTTTCCTTGAATTACTTTTCAGTTAATTTCTTTGCAAGAGTTGGCTTAATGTGTGTTTCTTTTTTCCCCTTGTTCTTGGAGAGGTAAATGGAGTGAGCATGGAGTTAATTCCACTTTAACTTAATTCACAAGTACTTGATTTTAACCAAGAGGCTAAAACATTCCATTTAATGTGTTGCCTATAGACTTAAATTGTGAACACGCACATACATAAGTATGGATATGTATATAAAGATATGTAAAGAAATTTGCTACCATGTTCAGCATTGAGGTGAACTGCTTTGGGTCTCTTGATGGTTCTTCAGTGTTCCACTCTTTAGTGTTTTCACAAAAAGATCGTCCCTTGTTGTTATTCGGTGTGGTCAAAGACTTCCTTCATATTTTTTTTTTTACAGTTATTATTTATTATTCAGCCACAGTTAAATAAAA